TTGAAATTTTCACATGAGCGTGATTGGTGAAATTGGGCCTAGGTATATATCATCATGACTTACTTTCCTGATTGACATTGTTCTGTTTTAATGATGTAAACTATTCATTCAACTAGAATTTGTGCAGCGTTAATAAATAATAATTTGCATGATTATTTGTCTGTTAGAATCGAAATTGAAAACGAAATGAAGGTTCTTCTTTTCTATCAGAGCTGTCAATTACCTCTTGCTGGTAAATTTTGGATCGGATTAGCTGTATCGAAAATTTTTATCCATCCCAAAAAAGACCTTTTCATTAGTCATCACTTTTGGGATTGCGGAAAATTTATCCAAATCCAACGACAAAATTATCATGAATAGTTGGAAATTAAACTCCTTCGATGCCGAAGCTTGAGAAACACTGTTCAATGGTCATTATAAAAGTAATAGATCGATGAAAATAACTCACCGATATCATTTGTAATAACGTTTCATCATGTTCTTCTTTTCCTACTAATAATTCAGTTTTGATTCAGGCAAGAGTAAAAATAAAAAAACCAGGATTTTGAGCAGTAGATCAAATTATGGAGAAAAAAATGCAGTTTCTTTCTGTATGTGTGCATTTAAATAAACATTGTTGACCATTTTTGATAAGTTTGTCCACATAAAATTGTTTATTTTTCGCGGAGAATATTTGTTCAACATTTTGGTACATTCAAATCGTTCTATGCTACGACGTGGAAGTATTTCTGAAAGCCGACAAATCTGGTTTTGTGTGAAAGAGATTGCTACAACACAAACAGTATGTACATGTCAACGCACTTGCATCCAACAACGTTTTTTTTTTCTTTCGTTGTATGTCGTTTGACTCACATACCAACGAACGACATCGAAAAAACCACAAGTGATTCAATGTGGGATTTACGTTAATATCACTGTCTTGCGTTCAACCGCACGCACACACCGACACACCAAAGTCGAAATCAAGCGACGGTATCTGCGGTAATAACGCTTCAAAGACATATGTAAACAAGCAAATAAAAAATGCCAAAACACACAGGTCTGCAGTTAGTTGAAACCGGACAGTCACTTGGAACACATTCTTATTTGTGATTTTCTTACTAAAATATCAGCTAAAATCTCTAATTAAACTATTGAAATATCCAAAGAAAAATGGCTAACGTTGAATTTTTGACATTTAACAATGGAATCAAAATGCCAGCCATCGGCTATGGCACTTGGCGTGTAAGTCACTCTCCAAAATCAGTCATGTTTGACGGAAAGTTTTGATCATAACTAGAATTATAAATTCGTCATTTTTTCTGCATCTGAACTAGGCACCCGATGAAGAAATCGAAAGAGCATTGAACTTAGCTCTTGAGGCTGGTTATCGGTACACAATTGATTCATTTACATTGCATTTGTTCAAATATTAGTTTGACAAATCTAACACGAATGTTCTTTTTACAGTCACATCGATTGTGCTCCAGTTTATTTGAATGAAAAGGCCATTGGCAAAGTGCTGAAAGAATGGATCGATGCGGGTAAAGTGAAACGTGAAGACTTGTTTATCACAACGAAATTACCAGATTTTGGTGAGTTTTTTTTTTTGTATTGAAATGTCAAAATGAACAGTAAACAAATGACTGTTGTATGAATAAATATTCAGAAAAAAGATTGACCTTCAAAAACAAAACAATGACATATGGTGACGCATTTTGTTTCTTCAGGTAATCGTCCCGAGAGTGTTGAAAAGAATTTGAAAAAATCGTTGGCCGATTTGAATTTGTCATATGTTGATTTGTATTTGATGCATACACCATTTGGATTCCCCGAACCAACCGACGGTCAATTGGCATTTCATCCAAACGGTGATGTTGTATTGGATTTAACCACCGATCATGTGGCCATCTGGAAGGTGAGTAAGACACATTGAGTATTATCGCAAACGAGTCACAAATCGATTATAAAAACAAAAATAAACTGAAATTAATCGAAAATATTATACGCAGAAACTTGAAGAGTTCGTCGGTGCTGGTCTTATCAAAAGTATTGGCATTTCGAACTTTAATCAACGTCAAGTGCAACGCATTTTGGATAACGCAACCATTAAACCGGCTTCGTTGCAAATCGAACTGCATGTTTATTTCCAACAAAATGAATTGGTGGAATTTTGCAAAGCAAACAACATTATCGTCACCGCATATTCGCCGCTCGGTTCGAAAGGTATTGCCGAGTTTTTGTCGAAAATAACTGGTAAACAGTGAGTATTGTGCATACATGAATGATTCGCTGATTTATTTGCACACTGTATGAATTTAATGATCTTTGTATTTTCGAATTTTTTTCTTTGTTCAGACGTAACGTGCCTGACTTACTTGAGATACCCGAGGTGAAAGCAATTGCTACGAGACTGGGCAAAACACCGGCACAAATTCTGTTGAAGTGGATTGTGAAACGCGGCGTCGCTGCCATTCCAAAGAGCACCAATGCTGGTCGTTTGCGTGAAAATTTGGCACTCTTTGACTTTGATTTGACCACAGAAGATATGGAGACGATTAAGGGTCTGGACAAAGGCATCCGCATTTGCACTTTTGACTTCTTCCAAGGGTAAATACATTTTACACGGTCGATAGCCAATTTGTTAATGGACACTTTAATAACAATTTGATTTGTCTGTTCTTTTTTTCAGAGTTGATAAGCATCCAGAATTCCCATTCTAATGGCATCAGAGTCATGGCATTTGATTATTTTTGAAGATTTCGATAAAATATTACAATTTTTTTTATACATTTTCAATTTACAATAATGTTCATTCTTTATCACATGAAAATAAACATTTTTTTCATGTTACAAAGTATTTCTCGTGTACGAACATTTATTTCAATCTTCACTACAGTTTATATCTGTATTCTGTGCTTTATGGTGCTTGTATGCGCGTTCATTTGATGTAGTAGTGTTTATGGCGCTGAACGATCTTGAAAGCGCCGGAATGTAGACTAGCTCATCGAACATTATACTTATAAGGAATAAACAACCCTCTCACTATGCTACCTCTTTTTGGAGCAGTTGTCAAGGGTTCAAGTTCACATTCAATTGGACGCGAGTTCGGAATCCGCAGTGTCAATTTCTTTTTATTCCATTCATTCGCGATAAAATCAGAATGGATCAACTATAATTCCACATGACTTACTTACGAATGCGAACAAAAACGAATAGAACTGAAATGATGTGTTCGGTTTGGATCCACACATAAGTAGAAAAAATAAAATTAAATATTTGAAATTTTTTTGCGAAAAATTTTCGATCACAAAAATGCGCAGGGTAGTATATATAGTAAGGCGTTGTTCAGAATGCTTGAATTTTACTACAAGAATGCAAACTCGGTTTTAACAAAAAAACGAAGCGAGTTGATTGAATCCTCGCGCAATGCTCTCTATGACTTTGTTATTCTGACGGAGACAAACTTGAATCTCAATATTACTAATGCCGATGTCATGAGCTCTGATTGGGATGTGATTCGCGTTGACCGCGTGAAAGGTCTCAATGATTATAAAAAAGGCAAAGGTGGAGTACTGATTGGTGTACGTAAAGGTGTACCGTGGACAAAAGTCAATACCGACATAACGATTGAAATGCTCGCTCTTAAAACCATCGTTGGCAGCCAAAATGTATTCGTCGTTGTTTCATACATTCAAAACGATGCTTCTGATCCTATTCAATATCGACACGAAACTGTCTTGAACAAACATCTTCAAGCTTTTACGAAAATTATCGCTTCAATGAATGAAAACGATTCCATATTCATTTTCGGAGACTTCAATATGAAGTCAATCCAGTATGACAGAAGAAGTAACTACATGGAACCCATTAATTTACGCAGAGTGAAGTCGTATTACAGAAAATTTATGGATTCCACGAAGGTAATGAATCTGCGTCAAATCAACTGCATTGCTAATGAAATGAATAGGTATTTGGACTTGGTTTTTACAAACCAATTCGAACACTGTTCAGTATGTCCACCTAAAAAAGCATTTCTAAGAGACACAGAGAGATTTCACACCGAAACGGTGGTTAAATATCAACCACCTTCAATGAGTTCAATGAACGTTGCATAGATTAATATGGATGATATGTCTGGGCTAAGCTACGATTGTTATAGATGAGAATTTTTTTTTCTTTTTAAGAATTTCGCTCCTGCGGGCAGGAATTAGAATGCAATTAACTGTGATATTTTTAACTCTTTACTTACAAATTAATTGAAATCACGATTTGACATTGCAATGTGATATTTTATGATTTGTATATTATTGTGTTCATTTTTTCAGAGAATATTTATATAGCCAGCCTATCAAGTGTCTTTTGTGGTCTTTTTCTTCTGTTCATTGTTGATTTCCCTGTGAATATCGGTAAGTAGAGATGAAAACACATCTAAACATGCTGAGTTCTCTATGCTCAAAGTCATCGAAATAAACTTGATTTTATCGGATACGTTATCTACAATCAACATGACTTGATTAATTATTACAAAACAAATGAAACCGGAATTCGTATATGAAGAACATTTTCGATGTTTTCTTTGCATCAATAAATTAAAATAGAAATCTTGTTCTCGTTGTTATCGCATGTGTAATCAAATTTCGTTTGAATTTCATAATGCATGAAATACCGAGCTATTTTATTGACACATGTGCCATGGTCAGCTGTTTTACGGTGAATCCCCTCATTCCACTTTTCATTCAATTTTTGATCACGTTTTGTGTTCGCTTTAATACGAAAAAAAAGTTTTGAAAAAACATTGATATATTTCCGCAAAAAACGGTACAAAAAAGTAAACAGCCAAATGTATCTCTTAACTTTTAGCTATTTCATCATTTTGTGTCGCATTTGATTGAAAACAAACGTCGGTGTTTTTTGCCGGCTGTTATTGTATGCTCGCATATACTTGGTTAGTCATCAAATTCATGAGTATATATATAACGCGATGCGTTATCACCGTGCATACATTTTTTTGTTGTTTTAAATTCAATGTGTAGAGCGTTACATGTATAAACTTGCTATGTTTATTTGCAGTATGTTGTGAAATTCGCTTCGCTCAGCTGTATAAATGGTTGTCGGTGCGCATACGTTGATTCAGTTTTCGTACCGCTTTGGTGAGGTTAACACATTCAATTCAACTGTGCTTCGACAAGTTTTTTTTTAATTCAATTTCTCAACAATGGCTTTGATTGGTGAAATCCCGAAATTCGACAGCCGAGACGACGACTGGATGGTGTACACTGAACGTTTGGAGCAGTTCTTCGAAATCAACGATGTGCCCGAAGAGAAAAAGAAGGCCATTCTAATCACCAGCATTAGTGACGACGTTTACAAGACATTGCGTGATGTGTGCCATCCAAATTTACCCAAAACCAAAACATTCGACGAACTGTGTGAACTCTTGAACAAACAATTTGTGGTGAAAACATCGGTGTTCCGTGAACGTGTCACCTTCTACAATGCCAAGCAGATGAGCGGCGAGAGTATTGCCAATTGGTTTGCTCGAATTAAGAAATTGTCAGTGGATTGTAAATTTGGCGATCGATTCGATGCGATTTTGTTGGATCGTTTCATCACCGGTCTGAGATCACCGCCGATTTTGGATCGTTTGTGCGAAGAAGATGAGGACAAGCTCACAATTCAGCAGGCCGTAGAAATTGCTGTTACCAAAGAAAGTGCCATCAAAGAAACGTATGGAGAGTGTGACGATGGTGATGACGACGGTGGACAAAAACGAAACCGCGGTGGGCGAAATCGACGCAAACACTAAGTTACTGTGATGAGTTTGATCACATCATAACACCCGATTGTGCTAATCAGCAACATTTGCTGAGTCCTGAGTGTAGAACATAAAAACCAAAATCGAAAAAACAAATAAAAAACATACAAAAATATGAACAACTGAACGAATATTCATCAAAATGACTCTGATAATTTAATCAATGAATAAAATGTATTCCATTCTTATTTATTTAAACAAAACTGTTGCCTTGTTATTGCTGCATTGTTTTTCAACGTTTTTTTTTTATATGTATAAACCTTCTTCTAAGCACAAAAATAAGCAATTTTATTCAAATTTTTTACACTTTAATTTCATAATGGTTTTTTTGTTTGCACAATTGAGCTTCCTGTGCCATTTCATCGAGTGACACCGCAATGGCATCATTTACCACTTGGATCTTTGGAAAATAGATATCTCGCGTTGGTATGGTTAAATTGACGCCTTCCATTGGCCTAAAATCTTGAAATGTATCAAGCTCAATCGGACACAGGCCATATCTATCGTCATCGTTACTGGGGTACCAAACCATTGCTCCAGCTAAATTATGTCTCATTGCAAATCGCATTTTATTAGCTATATGTCTAGTAGTTTCCTTATACATTTGATCAAATGAGCTGACTATTTTTTCTTCATCTGGTACCGATACTTGGCACTCATCTTCATAGTCTTCTTTTAATATTAGCTTGCTGGATTTTTCATTGCCATATAACAACCACTGTACATTTTGTAATTGGCCTAACGGCTGTTAAATGTATTAAGCCTGTTTTACTAATAGATACAGAAATAATTATGAAATAAAAGTTGTTTTTTAGTAAACGTTTTGTGAATTCAAAAATCTTTGAATGTTTCGGAAAAATTATTCCACTTACTCTTAACGCCATCAGAATCGCCCACAAATATTTCCATTGAATCTCACTCGCTTAAAAATATCAAGAAAACACCAGAATTTTATCTGACAGTATATATTGTGCTGAACTTTTATTTTCTAAGTAAATCCTCGCAAATTCATAAAATCATACATTTTTCATCCAATAATGATGTGATTACCGTTCTAAATTTTCAAGAAAAAAATCATATTTGTGTTTGTTTTTTTTTGCAACGGTCTCTCTTCCGAGCAGCATTTTTTAGTCCAATGAAGATGAAGAAGAAAAAAATATAAAAACGAATACTAAAATAATGTACGCTACTATTTAAACCTATACTCTGTTTTTTTTTTCTGGATTATAAGGTAAATTGCCAAACAGAAAGTCAAATCAACTGAACGGAACCCAAGCAAAACAGTAAGATGAGGTTCTATCGTGATGATGAATTTCATCGTGGACTAGCGGCGAGCGCGTGTGTGCAAAACTTCTCCTTTCTCACTGCTGCTGTGTTAAACATAGTATGCTATTCACGCACACCTATACATGACTGTAGCTCCATAGCGCATGCAGAAGTGAGAAAAGAGAAGTGTTGCTTATATACGCTAGCCGCTATTCCACGATGAAATTCATCGTCATGATAGAATCTCATCTTACTGTTTCGCTTGGGAACTCATGGATTCATCTCATCGTTTGGTGAACATATGCTAAAATGTTCAGTTATTGATTTTTTTTTTGTGATTTCTTCGCAATTCATTTTGCATGCATTTTGGATGTGCACTAATAAGGTCTATCAAATCTGGTTATCTAGCTTAATGAAATCAAATATTCATTTGTTTTGTGAAGATATTTTGGAAAATGTGAGTAGATAAATGGATATCTGTTTCTTTAAATGTATGTCTAAAAGTGTTTTGTTTTCGTTCTTCCATTAATTTTTCCCGTTTAGAAACGTCCATCAAATCTCGATGAAAGAGCACTGTATCGTTCCTGTGGTCTTGAATTTGTGATGAAAGAACTTGGACGGCTGCTACCGCCATTATTTCCAGCCGGTCCATCCATATATTTGGATCGTTCGCTGAAGGTGCGATCATAACGATCTTGATTCTGGTGATCCATGGATCGGCTCCAATTGCCCGCATCGTGGGTTTGTGGCTTGTTAATTGCACCCTGTCGACAGAAAGTAAAAGACAAATTAAAATTTATTCTACATTCATTCATCTGATTTCATTTTTCTTGAACAAGAACTTGAAGAGCTCTTTAAATTCCATTTGAATTGAAATCAATCAATTCTTCTTTTTTATCTTTTCATTCCATTTGATTTCATTCATTATTTGTCTTTCAATGAAACAAATGAATTAGCGAATAAAATGCGCTTGTTCATACAAATCAAGTAAACCAAGCTAATTAAATGGACTTACCCAAACATCATTTGTGACTGATTGTAAACCGCCGAATGATTTAACTGACGACGGAGGTCCATTGTTTGGATTTGCCCATGCCGATGAGGAAGTTGATGATGGGCGATCGGAATAGCGATCATTTGAGCCTCCATTACTGTGATTATCCATGTAACGTGATTTACTCGAAGACATTCCAGAGCTTCTGCGTTACGAAAGATATAAATTGTATGGGGAGGAGTGTAAGAAGGTCAAGTAGAGTTATCATTTGGAGTTGAAGAAAATTTTTCAACTCTGCGTCGAATGTGGAGGTTAGTTATTCGATATGATTTTCATTGTATTTACCTCATGTGTCGATTATCAACGGGATCGTTGAATCGATTATCTTTGGTGGATGTGCCCAACGATGAAACGACACCGCGTTGATCATAGCCTCCACTGCCTCCGCCTCCGCTGCGTGAAGGTGGTTCAATGTCATTTGAGCGTTTGTAGCCATCGTTGATGGGACGTTTGAACGACGACACATCTGAATTGCCCAACGAACCAGCACCACCGCGTGACGACGATTTATAGTCATCATTCCGCTTTGATGAACTGGTTGGATAGTCATCGACACGTTTTTTCTCCGGTGGTCGATCATAATTCGATGATCGAATGGCCGTATCAAAACGTGGTGGTGGTGGTGGTTCGAATCTGCGATCATTCGCTGGTCGCTTGCGATCCAATTCATTATATCGATCATTGTCAGCCGATGTACGCTTTATTGCCCGTTTTGCCTCTTCAATCCTAAAATAAAATATACAAATTAAAATTCAAATTTCTCGGACTGCGATTGATTTGAAAACAGCTAGCTGGAAAAAGAGCATAGCACTGGCCGGTTTAAATATATACAAAATGCACATAGAATATGGAAAAAAGTCTTTGTCTGAATAAACGAACCGTAAAAAAATTGAAGTGGACAAAATATTAGAAATGTCACTTCATATTTTTTTTTATCTTGTCTACAGTTATACTTATCCGACAACAACAGCAAATACAAATAGCAGTCATTCGGCATGATTGTTGTTGATTTACTCGAAATCATTCGATAACGAACACTTGTGTGTGTGTGTGCGCGTGATTTCAATCACCAAAATGATGAAAATGACAGAAAAATTGTGTGTCTATATATGTATATGGATATGTAAGTTGTGTGTGTTTGCGTACTTTAGCTGTTGTCGCTTCAATTCCAAGCGTTCCAGTTCAATTTTTTCGCGTTCAAGTTTCTGTCGTTCACGCTCAAGTCGCAACAGATCTGCCTTTTCTCGTTCCAAACGTTGACGTTCTTTCTTCAAACGCTCCCGTTCGCGTACCAAACGCTCCTCTTCGTCTCGTTGACGGCGACGCGCTTCGGCCCGATGACGCTCTTCTTCGCGTAATTTACGTTCCCTTTCGCGCACGCGCTGTCTTTCAAGCTCTTCACGAATTTTGCGATAGGAAAGAACTGCTTCGCGGTCACGTTCACGCTTACGATCACGACGCACATTACGATCATTGGACTCGCCGGCCGCAGCAACAGCACCAGCTGGCCGACGCGATTTTGATGATGATGCTCGACTACGTTTGCCATCGGCACGATGACTTGAAGATGATGATTTTCGCTTTTCGGCCTCTTTATCGGATGTACTAGCCTCCGTTTTGGATGCGTCTTTTTCTTCGGTTGCCGGCTTATCTTTGGTTGACGACGACGATGTCTTCGAAGCGTTGGATTTTGATTTGGATTCATCGGCGTCAGCAGCACCGTCCTTCTGGCGTTCGCTGGTCGACGTTGATGATGACGATTTCTTTTCGTCGTCAACCTTTTTGCTGTCGCTGGTGCTCGATATACGTTTTTGCTTATTCCCAATGTTACCGATGTCCGATTTGGCACGTTCAACCGATATGATACGACCGTGCAGTTCGGTTCGGTGCAAATGCGAAATGCACTTGGTTGCATCGCTGGACGAGTTCATTGTAACGTAACCAAAGCAACGTGTTCCCGGTGTTCGTGTGTTGGTCACCACTTTAGCGCCAATCACTTTGCCATATTTCGAGAAGATGATCTTCAAATCGGTGGCTCGTGTCAACGATGATAGACCCGACACCCACAGATTACGGCTCGACGATGACGACGTTGACTTGGTCGCTGAAGACGAACTGTTGGCAGTTTTGGATGATTCTGCAAATTGTGCACAGTCGCAGTGTGTGTTTCGGTAACGGGAATTCAAAAATGATTTGCTTTTAGTTTGGATGTTTTTTTGTTTTTTTTGATTTTTTGATTTTTTGGTTATGAATGGATAATGATTTCTTTTACGTTTTGAATGTGTTTTTTTTTTCGGAACAAATAACAAAAGAAAATGCTTGAGGCCAAGGAGGAAAGAAAATTTAAAATCTATATTTAAAGCCAAATTGAAGGAATTAAATAGCACGATATTCGATTTGACCTTTGTTTTTTTGGTTTGTTTTAATAATGTGTGTTTTTTTTGGGTAGTGATTTTGTGAGAATGGCTTAAATTACCTTTATCATCTTTGAATGATTTTGATGATGAAGACTTCGATTCACTGTGAAAATAAAAGAGTTCGATGAGTACAAGCATTCGCATTGGCAATCAGTTTGATAAGGAATGTGTTTTGTTGGTCGCTCGGTTGTTTTTTTTTCTTCTTCTTTTCGATTTAGAGAAAAAAAAGATTTGTTATGGTCATAGCACACTGCACACGGTTGGGCTCTTCCTCTCTGAGATGGGCAAATAAATTTTATGCGATACCCTTGCGCTTGTTTGTGGCGCTGGTATTCGGTATTCATGGGCAATGCAATGATGGCACCATAAATCCGTCGTCTGGCTTCGACAGTTGTCTCTCACTACTGCCTGATTTATTTGCTAGTTTTCAACTTTACTGTTTTTATTTTTGGTAAACTTGAAATTGTGTTTGTGTGTGTGTTTTTTTTTTAATTTTTTTGGAAATAATTGTAGGATAATCAATACTGATGCCAAGCGCCATATATGATGGCGAAACCAACCTCTCATCAGTTTTCTTGTTGCTGTTGCTTCCATTGTTTGAATCACCACCTTTGTCTTCTTTTCTTGGTGCATCATTTGCATTGGATGTTGAACCCTTGGAACTGCTACCACCATCCGCATCATCATCCGCTTTGTTACCCACATTCTTGGAAGCCCCTGTTGCATTACCATTACTGTTGCCACCATTCGATGTGTTGTTTTCATTATTTTCATTGCCATCGCCATCACCATCGTTGTTTGCTGCCGAAGAAGCTGAATCATCACTTCCATCTTTCTTATCTGTTCGCAATAAAATGTATCAATTTTGTTTTTTCTTGTTCGTTTAAATCACTGAGATTGTCGACAGCCAATCGTTAAACGGATTGGATCGAGTTATTTTTGTTTATTTTTTGTTCTTGGTTTGTTTGGTTTTCTGGTCGAAAAATCATCGACACCGAATTGTCGTGATCGGTCATCGGATACAATCGTTTTGTTTTTTATAGATTCGAATTAGAAGAGTGAGGAGAAAAAAGTATCTAAATTTGAGGTTGACTCCATCTTTTCTCTCTCTCTGTGTGCATGTGCGTTTTTTCAAATGATTAGTTTTTGCACAAGAATAAAAAAGAAATTCGAGTTGATTTTGAGAATTTCAAAGTTGATTCGTGAAATGAAAATGTTTGAAACAGAAACTATGTCGTGCGTGTATTGCCTTAATGTATTAATTTTGGCATTACGAAAATGTGCCTCACTCAGCACTCGATTTCAAGAATAAATTATGCGCATATTTCGGAGATCAGAACATTTTATGTGATGCAATATAACCGATGCTTCGTTTCGAGATAAACTCGTTGATTATTCGGACGAGACGTGGATTTGTTCGGTGAGTTGTATATCTTAAATACATGTTGGCCACGTATGTTACCTTCATGGGAATGGAGTTTGATGCAGCAAAATTGGCACATGCGTTGTCCACTCACATTTTTCAGCGTATTGTTGACTCTTTCCGACCAAAATTCGGTTTGCAGAAATGTCGCTTGATCTTGGTATGGTATCATTTCGAATTCAAGTGTAGTTCACATTGCATTCGGTATATATTGAAAACCATCTCACAATGAAATGCAATGCCATGCCATGCAATTTATGCACGAAACACGTGGACAACCCTCATCACAACATATCGAGAAGTATTCTGCATTCCCTTCTCTCGAGTCCATCAAAATGCCAACCATCGTCTGTTTACGTCTCGCTTCAATCCGGTAAAATCGTCTGTTTAACTCTCTCGGGTGAAACCATAGGCAGGAACTAACATCAGCTCGTTGCATCGTGGCCAACAATAATTCAAAATATACAATCACCGTAATTTTATCGGCGTTGAACGCAAAACCAATTAATTCAGTTCCGTTTTTCAGTTCTCTAATCTAAACTGTTTTTTCTTCATCAACGAAAACACCAATATCACGTATTCGAAATGGAAAAAATATGGTAGCAAAAATAAAACTTAACACGATTTTGTTTTTTCTTCGTATAACTCGAAATGTACGGACAAGTAAAACAAAAGAAATTCGTTCATCATTTTCACATTTCACCAAAATTCATATAACCTAAAACTTATTGACCATTCATTCAAACACCAACTACTTACTGTTGTTCTCTTTGACTTTTTCTTCAGGTTCCTGCAATGAACCAAATCAATTGATTAATTTTCTCTTCTTCAATGGTGCAAATTGCATTCTTCAATCCGGATTGCAAGTGACTCACTTCAAGTGAGACAGATTTGTGGTTATTTAAATTTGCAGTACAAACCTCATCCTGGAAAATTTTCGCTTCATCTTCACCGATAGTTAGGTTGAGCGAGTCCTCGTTGTCCACATTGCTCGTATCAAGTTTGTCCGATTCGGCTACCGTCAATTGCAAATGCTCTTGGTCATTTTCATTGTCTTCCGATGCATCCTTGACATCGTTGTTGTTATCAGCTGCCGGTTTCTTATCTTCGGGCTCTTCTTCGACTTCTTCGACCTCTTCAGTTTCTTCAGTTTTTTCGGCATCTTCACCCTCTTCGTCGGCATTCTTTGTGGGCTTCTCATCTTCATCACCGCCATTTGCCTTTCGAATTATAACCCGAATTTATTAATTCATTGAACAGAATAAGATTTTTTTAAACATCATGGGAAATTCGATTGCATTCATTGAAAATGTATCTCGCAATATTATCATCTCAAATCATCATCAATCGTATTTATTATCTCCATTGAGACTCTTTCACAAGTGTGTTCATTTACCTGTGTTTCATTCGTAATCGGAGGATTTGATTCATTTCGGGCGCATTTAGCTGGCGTTTTACTCTTGTCATCAGTTTCAAAAACGTACTCGTTTGGATCTTCACCCTCGTCGGTGATTGCCTATGCACATAAATTAAATCACATTCATTCATTGGCTTTTCCATATGTTTGATCGATAATTAAACGCTAATAGTGTTGTCTGGCATTAATAGCCAACAAATCTAACTGCTTGATGATAATGAATCCAATATCGTGGCTAATGTAAGAAAATTAATAGTTTTTTACCTTTTGCAAACGATCAACGAGTGCAATTTAATGCCAGTCGTCTCTAAGCCCCGTTTTTCCAGCTCCGCGTTGAGGTCGCATGCTCGCAAGTCGGTAATCTTTTTGCCCACACTCTCTGACGACATAGTTTCCGCAAAAATGTTGTATCTCTCAATTCACAACTTGAATTAAATTGATGAATTTGTTCAATTGTTTGAAATTTCGATTGGATAAACGTTGATTCCAATGAATTGCAAAAAATTAGACACAAATTATTGTTAAACTTTATTTTTCCACTTGTAATCTTTGACCAGAAAAAATTCTGTCTCTCTCTCTCTCTCTCTGTAAGTTTCTGTCCGATGACACTTTTTATACGCTCATACCGAAATCAACACATAGATGGCCGTCCAATCGAGTGAAAGTTGAATATGAATTAATCCAAAAAAATTGAACAATTTTGAGAAAATATTGATTTTAGTTCAATGATCTTCACAATTTGGTGCAGAAACCACATATTTTATCAATTAAAATGTTGAATATCATCACTTTGACACGCGATTCCAGCCGTGTAAATTGTGTCTATTCCGAGATTCAATAGTGTTGACATTCGACATTGGTTGAGTGAAAATAGTTTCGTGCCCGATTGAAGCAGACGGCACTGTCACTTGATATAACTTTTGATAGGTACGTTCGTGGCCATCTTAGTTCTTTTCGCTGTAACCACGTTCTTTGAAAGAAGTACATTACAATCATGGCTTTGCCAATTTCCAAAAAACGAAAGGTAATTCAACAAATTTTTGTGAAAATTAGTGGAAATTCAGCACAATCGAATGCAACACAACGCCGATTATATGGAATATTGTGAAAAGTTTCGAATTTATTTAGTGAATTTTTATTCGGAAGTCGGTATATTGTGCGACTTGTGCTGGTGTGAATGAATTTCACACATTGAGCACACGGTGTGGTTTGTGCACAATGTTGCATGTGTATATTTGGAAAACATTAAGACTTTGACCAAATCAAATCACGAAAACGCTCGCCCACCCGAATGCATCATTTAAACTAAACATCAAAAATGTTTCCATTTCCGATAAATTTTACGATCACCACAATTGATTAACTCATGGAATACATTTAAATGAAACATAACCTAAAAAAAATTTGTTCAAACTAATGTGTGTTCTTTTGTTGTATATTTACAGTTCGTCTTGAACGGTATTTTCAAAGCCGAATTGAACGAGTTCTTGACTCGTCAATTGGCCGAAGATGGTTACTCCGGTGTTGAAATCCGTGTGACACCAACACGCACAGAAATTATCATTATGGCAACCAAAACATTGAATGTTTTGGGAGAGAAGGGACGCCGTATCCGTGAACTTACTGCTGTTGTTCAAAAGAGGTACATACCGCACAAATGACTCAATATTCGGTCTATCGACCATTAAATTCGACTGTTTATCTAATCAATTTGGATTTTTTTTGTGATTTTAGATTCGGTTTTGCTCCAGGCACCGTTGAATTGTACGCCGAAAAGGTCGCCACACGTGGTTTGTGCGCTATCGCTCAAGCCGAATCTTTGCGTTACAAATTGACCGGTGGATTGGCCGTGCGTCGTGCCTGTTACGGTGTATTGCGTTTCATCATGGAATCGGGCGCCAAAGGCTGTGAAGTCGTTGTGTCCGGTAAATTGCGTGGTCAACGTGCCAAATCAATGAAATTCACCGAAGGTTTGATGATCCACTCCGGTGATCCATGCAACGTTTACGTTGACACAGCCACACGTCACGTATTGCTTCGTCAAGGTGTGCTTGGTATCAAGGTTAAGATCATGTTGCCATACGATCCAAATGGCAAGAGCGGTCCAAAGAAACCATTGCCAGACAATGTCACCGTCATCGAACCAAAAGAAGAAGTTATCTACGAACAACCAGAAACTGAATACAAAATCCCAGTCCGAGAGGCTGCTGGTGTTGATGTTGGTGTACACGATCAAGTTGAATAAGTTTTAAATGCGAAGACCACCGTTTCCTCCCGGTTATACCATTTAATTCATATTGTCTAAATGTACTACATTCAATTTGCGTGTATAATTTTATATTATGGAAATATAAAAAAAATCACAAATGCCGTGAATGAAAAATAAAGCAGAAGAAAAAAATCCACAAAATTTACAATCGCTTTTATTTTTTATGGTACAAATTTCTTTTTGGTTTTTGAAGGTTTTAATTTTGATGCTTTCATTCTAAAAACGGTGGATCTATCTCAAAGTTATCATGATTGGCATAGATCAACCTTGTTTATTTCTGCTGGAACAGGTGGAACCGGAATTATTTAGATTCTTCGTTGCTGTAACGCTTTTCTATCATGGAAATGACATGTGAACCTGAAATCTTACCCTCTTACAACTTAGTACAATTCTTCTTTTTTTCTAATTGCGCTTCAGAAGACAATCAAATGAAATACACATTTTCTTTAGGTCTAGCGTTCGACATTAGGTAAGGATGCGATTCGTTCGTTCACACGAATTCCATGAAAAGGTAAAAGATAAATTGGTAATTTAACTGTTTGTGTTTTATTCATTCGTAATTTCATTTAATAATCTTAGCTTTGTCGGTTGTTTTCTTGATAATTCAATTTGAAATCGGTTAGTAGTGAGTTGTTTTTTTTTCATTGCTCCTTGGCGGAATGTGTATTTAGCAGATGACTGAATTATTAAAGACCAATGGTTTAAGCTACATCTGCATAAATGTGTAACGTATTTTTGCTAAAAATATGTATCTACATATGTTCAAACAATTCTTCATATTACCAGTTGAAACAATAAATGAAATAAACCAAAATATCAGTTGGATCAATGAAATGACTGATGCATATAGTTGAATCGATTGAAACAAACATTTCCTTTTTTTATTTCATCCATTTAGATATTTCTTCCTATGACTCACCTGTACTGCTCATGTAATATGTGTTGTCTGGACTACAGGCGATTCATAACTATGCCCACGAAACATTCCCTTGGTACCAATACACAGCAAATATGTACCGAATCGTTTTGGTAAAAGGAAAATACACATTTTACTTTCAAAGTCTAGAATTTTCAGCGTTCTTTATTCGTTCGATTCAAGTAATAAATAAGAGTAGAAGTCCGAATTTTTTTTATATTTCAAAATATTAAATATCATGGGTGGTTCAACTTACAAACCGGCTTAACTTAAAAACCTATGGATTTTGTGATCAACTTTAACTTTTACTTTTTCATTTGTTTCGACACATTGACACAGTTTTCAAACAAATTTCCTAATACGGA